AAGATTTTGACTTTGATATTGGTTGACAGACAGTTATTTTGAGTTCCATATGTTTTTCAATTGTAGAAATGCGGCCCTTACTTTGTCAATCCTCGCGTTTACGTCCCCATCCGATCTTCCTTGTTCATAGATGATGCTTCCTGGTTATATTATCCTTACTAGTGAAATGAGTGTTTTGTAAGCGTTGATAAAGATTTCAAACTGACTGTAAATAAACAATTCTTGAACGTCAAAGGAGACTGAACAGAGGCTCCATTTTAACGTGGGTTTCTTTAGCGTTTTAAACCTACAATCCCAGTATTATTTATTATCGATTAGATTTGTTATTTATCACGGATTGATACTCGTTGAATAGCCCATTTATATCAAGGAACACTTAACAGTGATTTTGTTCTTGCTTCAAATTCTCTAGCAATCGACAGTGACTATCTAAAAACTAGTGACTAGCTTTGAGTTGCTTAATCCACCAAACCTAATCAAGTCAATAGTTAGACAAAAAATCAATGATAAAATCATTTTGTAACAGACATGTTTATATATTGACTAAAGTGTTTACTTGTGAATAATGAGGATTTCTTGAAGCAGTCCACTTATGTTCCTCGAAAAACACAAACAAACAGATAATTCTATAAGATCGATAGATCTAGCTTTAATTAGTATTTGATTAAAACACTTGGGTGATAAAATTACTCCTAAATAAGTTGGTTGTCTCCTCAGTTAAAAAAAAGCCAAACTTAGAAATGTTGGGAAGATTCAGAAAACTTCTCGAAAAAAGTCACAAAAAAGGCTTTGAAAACATGAAGAAGCATCGTATTCAATCAGTACTCACTAGAAGTTTTGTGCCCCCGAATGCCCTGGTATGGCCGAGAGTTGGGTGAGCCCACCCTCCCTCTCGAAATGCTCCCACACGGTCACGTGTATACAGCCTCTGCCAGGGAAGTCCTACTCACTGCCTTCTCGTGGCGGGGGCAGTATCACAGCCCACACACACACACACAAATATGGTGTGGCGCATATATATTTCGTGCCCTCTTGTACCAATATTTATGTGTTCAAATAATAATAATAATAATAATGATATAAGTTTTGTCAGAAACATCAAGAAAGTGAGTCACATGTCGAGTTTCTGATTGGATGATTCGCCATGTTGCTTAAATGTTTAGTAGCATTCCAGAGTTTTCTGCAAGCCTAAGGCCATCTAAAATACTATAAATACCCTAGATTTTCTGTATATAAACGAAACTTTAAAGTAAAGCGTTTCTTCTATATTTCGTGCCTTTTCTCTCGTGTTCAAGTTGCCGTGAAGATCTAGCCTGAGGGTTACTAGAAGACCTTAGTAATTGAATCTAGCATTCAATGAGAAAACCTATCAAGAAATAGTACAAAAATTTAATATAATGCATAAGTAGAATTAAACGTTAGATTTGAAATTTTCCTGATATAACCGTTGTAATGATAACAGATTTTGAAGAAAATTTGGCGAGACCATAATTTATGGACGAACCAATCAGATTTAAGATGACATGTCTTGGATTTGGGCTCGAAACTCATTCACCCGATTGTCTAAATAGAGTCCTGGCATCTTAATTGATGTCAGTTTATGATGAAAATCCTAAATCTAATTCCCAACCTTAATCATCAACAGTAAATCATAATCCTTACTCTTTATACTGCTTTATAACCATCACTTAGCCCTAGTATGTAGGTGGACATTCATATGTGATGTCAGGGTTAGGTTAGTAAGTAAGCAAGTAAGTAAGTAATCTCCGTTTATTGTTTCCTAGTCACCCTATGACAGTTGCTCACTCAAAAATGTGTAACCTGGTTTTCGCAAATTCGTTTGTATATACGAATCTACCCACTTCTATAAATTAAAAAGAATCTATCACCCTTCCTTATCTAAAGGTAGTCTGACATAGTGAATACTCAGCTCCATTCTATCATACCTGGTTAATAGATGTTATGTGGAATACAGAACTAGAGAATTTTAAGCGCTTTATCATTCACCTTTAAATCTCTATGATGAGATTCGATCTCGTCTCACAAGTATCGTAGAAGCTATAATGGTTCAAGCTAATAAAATTAGCCGCTTTATTTAAATAAAATTTGATATACACTTTTCCTTTTCTTTGCTAAATAAGCCTTGATAAACGTTCTTGTTACTACATCACACCCTTTGTTTATCATCCTTCACCTCTTTTGTACCCCTTTTTTTCGTAATTTGATTGGTTACATAATCATACTTGTCATTATTATGTTAATTACTATTGCTTATCAGCTTATTATCAGAAGGGGTTTTGTGGAAATCTTAGCAATTTCAATAGTTGAAATCATGAATCAATTGAAGCTAGACCACTATGGACAATCTGGAAACAGTGGACGGCCGTTTCGTCCTAGTATGCGATTCCTCAGCAGTCAGTCAGTCAGTCAGTAACAACGTAGAACTTCGTACGTACGTACATCAGTTCGAGTTGCCACACCACATTAGCACAGAGATGCACTTGTCGATTCAAATCCCGTCGTGGTAGAGGTAATAAGAGTATAAGCAGTAATCGGGAAGATTAGGGTTTGGAGATGTTATTTAAAGAGTATAATCCAGTGAAATAAATTTGGAAAGAGGAAAAAAAGGGACATGAAGAATTCAGAAGATTAGAATTTGGGAGAACACAGAGAGTGGATGCACCTGCGCCATTGCAAACGATTTTGAGCCATGTCATTCAGGGTCTCTAACCATCGGTTGCTGTCATCTCGCGGTCCCCAACCAGGTAGTCTACACCTACCAACATGACTCAGTTCACTTGTCAGTGACTTCATGGACTTGTGCCATGTTTTGGTTTGGCCGCCCCTAGCTTTCTTCCAACCTACTCCTATACCACTGAACATAGCACGTCGAGGCAGTCGGTCGTTGGGCATACGTAACACGTGTCCCAGCCATCTCAACTGATGAAGTTTCACTACGTCATCAATTGATTTGCCATCCTTACCTAGTACCCGTTTCCTAACAACTGTGTTACTTACTCGATGGTCCCATGATATATGAGCAATGTTTCGAAGACACCTATGATCAAATACTAGTAACCTACGGATATCCTCTACTCTTACCGGCCATGTTTCACTCCCATAAAGTAGGACGGAACGAACTGCTGCGCAGTAAACACGTCCTTTGGTTGATAGACGGATATCTCGCCTACGCCATAAATGACGCAAGTTGGCAAAAGCTAGTCGAGCCTTCTGTATCCGTGCTGAGATTTCGTCACACACTAAACCACAAGGGCTGATGAGACTTCCAAGATAAGTGAAGCGGTCGACACACTCAACTACTTCACTCCCTATCACTAGTTCGGGTGTCGATGTAACCCAATCCTGAAGCAACATTTTGCATTTCGAGGGAGCGAATCGCATCCCGAACATGCTTGCATTGTTGCTTAGAGTGGCCAGAAGACTCTGCATTTTGTCAGTGTCTTCACCAAATAAAACGATGTCATCAGCATATTCTAAGTCAACAAGTGAACCTCCTGGTAGAAGTTCAACCCCTGTAAATTTAGATGAGGAGAGTGTTATCTCTAAAAGTACGTCGACCACAAAGTTGAACAAGAATGGGGAGAGTGGACAGCCCTGACGAACACCACTTGAGGTGATCAATTCTGATGACAGTTCGCCATAAGCTCTCACTCGACCAGTTGTGTTCGAGTAGAGAGCCTTTATAAGGTTAATGTACTTCTTTGGTACTCCTTTCAGTGACAAACACTGCCATAGAACCTCACGATCAATCGAGTCGAATGCCGCCTTAAGGTCGAGAAATACTACCATTGTGGGGCGTCTGAATGTGTGTCTGTGTTCTAGAACCTGACGTAGTGTGAATATCTGATCTATACAACCACGTCCAGGTCGAAAACCAGCCTGGTTTTCTCTAGTCTGCTCTTCACGAGCTTTAGTTAGGCGTCGAAGTATTATTGAAGCTAATATTTTAGACACTATATTAGTCAAACTGATTCCTCTGTGATTGTCACAAGAGGACTTTTGTCCTTTCTTATAGACTGGCACAATCAGTGATTGAGACCAGTCAGATGGGATTACGTCCAGTTCCCAAATTCTACCTAAGACCTCAGTTAATCTCATTGCTAATACTGGACCACCATCCTTAAAAATCTCAGGAGTAAACCTGTCAGGGCCTGCTGCTCTCCCTCGTTTCAGATTTCCTATGGCTTTTTCAACTTCGTAAAGGGACGGAGGACCTACATTAACTTGCCATTCAGGTTGACTGGAGATCGTGGGAAACCGAAGTGTGGCTGAAGGCCAGTTGAACTGATCCCTAAAGTGTTCTGCCCATCGATCCAATCTCCTGGATTGAGAATGAATAATATGTCCATCTTTCTCTGAGATTGTTTCGCTAACGGTCGGGTTCCTAATTCCGGTTTCCTTAACGAGTCTGAACAATTGTCTGCTATTACCTATTGCCGCTGCCTTTTCCATCTCTCTTGCTTTCGCTACCCACCACAGCAGTGAGCATCCACTATCCCGCCCTTCGAACTGTTGAGAAGTTCCATAATTCAACGAAACAATCATCCAAGACTTCTAATTTCTTAATGATTACTTACCGTGTAATAATAACACCAGTTTTAGGATCAATACGAAACATTTGTGAATGATATTCATTTTTTAATGAATATGTTAATTTTTTATCTATACTACTTAGAATACCTTTCAATTCTTTATTTATATTATGGATATCGGTCCTAGAATGGGACTCCTCAGCAGTGCTCAAACATCAGTGAAGTCAAATCCGTGTTGTGTAGATACACGTATTTACCTTAGGTAATCGATGAATGGTTGTACAAGATCATGGATTGAATAAAGTTAGACATCACTGTTAGATGTCAGTTCAATGGTCAAGTCGTAAAGCGTTCAAGCGTGAGGATGATGAGTGGAGGACTGTTGAAAAGTTCCATAATTCAACGAAACAATCATCTAGGACTTCTAATTTCTTAATGATTACTTACCGTGTAATAATAACTCCAGTTTTAGGATCAATACGAAACATTTGTGAATGATATTCATTTTTTAATGAATATGTTAATTTTTTATCTATACTACTTAGAATACCTTTCAATTCATCATTATTAACATTATGGATATTAGATGATGATGATGATAATACTAATAATGAATTCGATTGATCATATTCATGAAATAATTGTGTTATATCTATGGATGGTGGTAAATCATCTAAATCATAGGCTTGAATTTGTCCAATATATGTACCGGGTAATTGATTCTCTTTAATATGAAATAAATAACCTCCAAGGATATTTAATTGTGGATGAAATATTGGTATATTATCATTAATATCTAATATATTGATAGTTACTAAGCAATTTGTACTTAATTGTATAGGATAACCATTATCTTTTACTATAATTGATAATTCATAAATTGATATAGATTCACGATCAAATGGTCCCCATGCTAATAATTGTCCAGTATTAGAATGAATTGTAAATTTATAATTGAAATGTTCAATAGATTCATTAGATAATTCATAAATTAATTGACTATTTATACCAATATCATTATCAGTTGCTAAAATATAAGCTAAACCATTTGATGTTAACCATGTACGATTTTTCATTGTTTTATCCAATCGATAATTTACACCATGATCAGGATCAGGATCATCCTGATCTTCTTGTTCATTATCATCTTCATATAATGAATAATATAATGAGATTTCATACATTGTGGTTGATGATCATTTATATCTAATATATGTATGATCAAATTATGTAATGTAATATGATTAGCTAAATCTTTACATTCAATGGAGACTAATAATTTAGATTGTATTTCACGATCTAATATTGTATTAGTATATAATTGATATTCATTATTTATTGAATTATGATAAGATAAATAAAAATCATTAGAATTAGAACCAATTAATCGACATTGTATACTAGTTGGATTCATTAAATCATCAGGATCTTTTACTTCAATTAATGCAATTAATTGTCCAATAGTTTGATTTTCATATACACCAATTTCTGTTTCATAAAATCGGTGATTATGTAATATGGAATGATCATCTTCTTGTTGTTGTTGTTGTTGGTCGTGGTGTTGTTGTTTTAAAGATTGAATAGGATGTATATAGATTTCCGGTGGTTCATCATCAATATTCTCTATTTGTAATTGAATTGTAGTTGATCCAGTTTTACTATATGGTATCATAGCACCATCTATAACAATCACATCTAAATTAATCATTGATATTGGTAAATATAAACGAGTTGAATTAATTTGTGTTATTCTATCTACATTTAATGATTGAATAAGATATAATTCACCATTTTGTGTTAAATTAAAAAAATGACATAATAATTGATTATTAGTAGTATCTAAGGCTAAATGATAAGTTAATTGAGCATTTTCACCTTCATCTCTATCTGTAGCGGATACTTTTAAAATTGTTTTATTGATTGGATAATTTTCAGGGATAATACCAATTTTTTGATTTGGTAATTGAGGTTTATATAATGTTTGTGTAAATATAGGACTATTATCATTAATATCAATTAAATGTATATGTAATAATAATTGACTACTTAATTGTATTAAACTATCATTATTAATAGCTAATAATATTAAATTCCAACCATAAGGTTTTAATTCACGATCTAATGTATATCGTGTTTTTAAATATAAACGTTCATGATTCAATGTTTCTTGAACTAATTCAAATATATCGGTACCGCGTAAATTTAAATTATTATTATTATAATGATTATAATTTCTATCATTCAATTGATAAGAATAAATATCATTATTTAATAATTGATATGTAATTTTAGCATTGATATCAATATCTATATCATAAGCTAATAATATAGATTGTTTTGTCCCTGGTGGATCTTCATCATGAAAATAGATTGTTAGATTATTAATATTCCATTTTGGTGGATTATCATTAATATCTTCTATATAAATATGAATTTGATAAATTTTTTGTAGATTATTTATAAATAATGCTATTCTTAATGTAATTATACAATCAGAATTGATGGATTGTAGATCATTGATATGATCCAGATCAAGATGATTAGGATCATTCATATTATTATTATTATTATTACGTAATTCATGAGTTTTAATTGGACATAGAATTTCACGATCAATTCGATTATTAATAATCAATTGTAATTGATTTCTATTCGAATCATTTAATGATTCTAATGGTAACCATTGAAAATGAAAACAATTTATACCTGGATCTTTTTGATTTAATATTTTAATAATATTTGTCATATTTTCAATGTTACCATAGTGATTAAAATGTAAAAATAAATTGCCTAATTGTATATTTGATGCAATAATTGTACCTATGGGTAATTCTTCTTTTATTGTAAATGTTAATTCACTGATATTTTGTATTGTATTCTCATGAATAGATAAGCATAATATAAAGTAGAATAGAAAGCTGATATAAAAATATAGTTTAGATAATGATAATGTAATCAATGGTGAATGTATTACATAATCATAATGATGAATGATCATGGTAAATGAATGATTGTCTTCTATGATTAGAAGAGAATCAATTAATTAATTGAATATTGGATGTATATTTCTTATCATCATTTGTATGGATTAAGCTAAAAATGAAGAGAAAAACAAAACGATGAAAGATCTTAATCAGAGAGGGGTTTTGGTGGAGATGATAGTAATTTTAACAGTTGAGATCATGAGTCGATGTAAATTATACGGGACAGTTTTTTTTTCCGTCCTAATGTGAGACTCTTCAACAGTTCTCATCCATGATCACGCCTCAAGAGTTTCGAACCCAGGATTTGTCGATCTCGTGCGCGAACACTTAGCCTATAGACCACTGAACTGGCTGACATCTAATGGTATTAATTCCTAACTTTAATCAATTCATGAAATTGAGTGACACATCCACCAATGTTTTCAGTGAGTTGTTATTTCACAACAAATACAGTTGAATTTTTGAAGCCAGCTACTAGCGTGAGCATATGTTTGTTAGTATCCGAAGGATTTTCGTAGACACTGTAGTAATTTTAATAGTTGAGATCATGAGTCAATGTAATCTAGACCGCCGTGAAAAACCTGGAAACCCTGAACACCCGTTTCGTCCTATCGTGGGACTCCTTAGAAGTACGCATCTGTGATCCTGCCTCACGAGATTCAAACCAGAACCTGTCGGTCTCGTGCGCGAACGCTTAATCTATAGACTACTGAGCCAGTCAGCATCCAACGATGTTAATGTCTAACTTCAACCAATCCATGAAACTGCGCTACCGTCTACCATTATCGAGGAGAAAAATTCGGTATTTTTTTCTTGATATGAACGGAGAAACAAGAAGTTATGGTAAATGATGGAAACTAATTTTGAGGATGTTATTTCATTGAATTCAAAGTTTTTGAAGCATTAATATTTTCTATTCCTCCACCCACTTTAGTTTATACTACGAACCATAAGCTTTTGTTTGATGTATGATCCATTGTCATACCCTTTTTTGTCTCAAGTTATTGTAATTTATACGGAACCTTTGTTACTCTATTTTTCTACCTTAATGACTAGTTTTACACATATCAATGAACAATTTGGTAGCCTGCTTAAACATCTAGGCTATCTGTTCCTTATATCTAGATATTTCAACAAGTTGTCAGTTAATTGCATAACGTATTCAGATGTGTTTGTGAAAAGTTCACAATCTTTCGTTGTACACGTTACAAAAGGCCCAATCAGAAATGTTGCGATGTCTGGCAATACGCGACGAAAACAATGTACATTATTCAGATATCGATTTCTGAACTGTTAACATCTAATTGACGATCACTCAATATATTATTATCCGGATCAATCAACAAATAAGGGACGGAAACTGGTTGAAATACTTTGTCCTGAGAATGATACATTGTACCAAAAATATAATACTGATTAAAGTTTAGAATAATCATTAAAAATTTATAAGCGTTCCCGCATTGGGATCATGTTAGTCATCTACATTATTCATGTACATTTTTGTACTAATTTGAATTGGAATCGAATCGGAGTCTGAATCAGAATCAAGAATAAATCGAGTACTGTTCCAATTGACCCGACTTCACTTTCGTACGATTGTCAATCAATTAAGTGACAGGATAGTTCTCGTCACTCTTCTCAACGCCGCTGGTCACACTTCGAACTCATGTAATTCTAATCTCAAGATTGAACCAATTAGCCTATCATATCAAGGTCTAAATCTAGAGTGAGACGAGTTTTCTTCTGTATATTAGTGCATAGACAGATCAAAGACGTAACAGTTCTCAACTGATTGATCACTGAATAGTGATTAATGTCATGCGTGTCTAGTCTTTATTAATGCAGATCGAATGCTATCGATCATGTTGCAATGTGGCCACCAGTCTAGGTGACTCGACACTGCGTGCACCGTTGTGAGCTTGGATAGCTCAGTGGTAACGTCTTTGACTGTGAAGCTGGGTGACACGAGATCGAATCCGCCAGGGAGCACCAGTTCCCTCAAGATTACAGGTACACCTTGCTGACGAGTGCCAAGTAGCACGAAACCCGGGTCCAGGATTTCCTGTCGACTGCCTCCAACCACCATCTAACGTAACAGTTCCAAATACAAACTGACTTCAGATAAAGTATCTTAATTTGAAATTTGTTACTAGTGTCTACACAATATCTCATACAGGACGGAATCCAACCTTTCGAGGTTCTGAGGTTTTGTGTCGGGTTGAATTCATCACTCTATATTTTCTTTTTCAATGATTTGTTATTGCTATTTATTGGTGATTCTCAGAATAGAAAAGGAAAAAAAAGAAAAACTGTCTCGCTTTATATGATCTTCAGTCTTTCTATGGTTAAAATCACACTATTATTACACACTTATTTGCCAGTTTACTAGTTTGACCTGCTTTACAGGTTATAATAATCACCACTGACTCATTAACTGAGTGTAAATATATAATTTTTCATATATAAAAGAACTGTCTCATTTGATGGACTAATTAATTTCAACAGTTGAGATCATAAGTCAGTTGAACCTAGACCACCATGGGAAACCTCGATACACTGGACGGCCGTTTTCTTCTCCCAATATCGAACTCCTCAACAGTGCGCATCCACGATCACGCCTCCTCAGATCCCAACACAGGATCTATCAGTCTCGAGCGCGAACACTTAACCTCTAGAACACTCAGCCGACCAGCATCCAACGGTATTAATGTCTAATCTCAACTAATCCACGATATTAAGCAACACATCTATCTTCAGAGGGTTACTATCCCACAACAACCCGGTCGAATTCCACTGATCATAGCTTCTCACTAGAACTTCAGGAAATCCATCTTGAAGCCAGTCACTAGTGAGAATATGTTGATTGTATTATATTATAATAATCTTAATAATTAAATTGATGAGTCAATTGAAGCTAGACCACCATAGAAAACCTGGATACATTGGACAACCGTTTCGTCCCATTGTGAGACTCCTCAACAGTGTGCTAAATCAATCAAATTGATACGTAAATCAGTGCTATCAATGATTGATTTATTCACTAGAGTTAATTAGAATATATATATATATATAACCTTGGTAATCAATACACTTAGTGACTATAAAGCGTATGGAATGTAACAACCAAAAAAAACTTTTTTTATTGTTTTAATTACAGGTTTATAAGTTTACTTCCTGTTTACATAAAGAAAATGGATGCTAATCAAGTCTACTAAATACAACACATTTATATCTGAATACCATTGAATGAAAAACACCATTTATTAGGTATATAATTAAGTTTGATGTATATAACACTGTGATAATGTACACAAAGCATTCATAGATGTCTTGGATACTATCTAATGATAACCTTATCATAAAAGTATGATTAATTTATAGGCTAAATGTAAGTTCATACTGTATTAAGGTGAAATACAAAGAGAAATTTATTGGCAGTAAAGTCTGTTGTAGAGATTGTATTATTTTTCATAGTTGAATTCATGAGTCGAACGAAAACTAGATCACTGCTGAACACCTAGAAGTACTGGTTGTGACTGTTTCATCCAAGTATGGGACACTTTAGCAGAGTGTATTCACGATCCCACATCAAAGGATTCGAACTCAGGATATTCGGTCTTATGCATGAATGCTTTACCGCTAGACCAATGAGCTGACATCTAACGGTGTTAATGTCTAACTTCAATCAAACCATGATCTTGAGCAATCCTTCATCCATTGTTTGAGGTGGATTCGGGTCGCTGAGGAGTCCCATACTAAGACGAAACGGCCGTCCAATGCTTTCAGGTTTTCCTTTGTGGTCTAGCTTCAATTGGCTCATGATTTCAACTATTGAGGTAAAAAATTCAGATATAAAAAGTGAGTTTAACTTCAGGTAGAAATGTTGATGATATTGTTCAGAAGAACATAATGAATAATCCACGATTAAACTATCCAGCATAGAGAACAAAACATCATTAAAATCATTCAAGTGAACTATAAATCTTCTCCACCATTACAAAATATGTTCAGTTTCTCATTGTTCCATAACACTGATCCCCCTTTCTATCTTCTATAATCTATCTGCTATTTTTCAATTCGTTTCACAATGATTACTTATTAGTTTTTAAGTAAACAATTATCTTCAACTTATCACTTTTTATAATTAACATGTGCTCACTAGTGACTAGCTTCGTGAGGGAATTCTCGGAGTTCTAGTGAGAAGTCGTGACCAGTGGAGCTAATCCGTGTCGGGTAGAGACAGGTATCTACCTCAGTACAATGGGAGTTGGTCGCGCAATTTCGTGGATTGGTTGATGTTAGACACTAACACCACTGGATGCCGGCTCAGTGGTCTAATGGTCAAGTGCTAAGGCGCGAAGCCAGTAGGTCCTGGGTTCGAATCCCGCGGGGTGTGGGATCGTGGATGCACACTGCTGAGGAGTCCCATACTAGGACGAAACGGCCGTCCAGTGCCTCCAGGTTTCCAACGGTGGTCTAACGTCAATTAATTCATGATCTCAACCAAAAACTTATCACTTTTTCATTAGACAATTATTACATAACATCCTTTCAATATGTGATTTCCAATTCGTGATAACATTACCACTTCAACTATTCGATACTGTTTCAGCAAATAACATTAACTATAAAAACGATTGTACAAATTGAGTAAATGAAATCGTTAAAAAGAAAGTTTTATTTGATGAACTGCTTCCTCTTATCTTCTTCTTCTTCAGTATATGAAGTAGATGAAAGTTTAAAAGTCATTTAGATAAATGGTTATCAGATCTATTCGTCGTCAAAATGCTGGAGTGATCCGGTAATCAATATATTCATTTGAACACACAAACATTGGTACAAGAAGGCACTAAATATGTATGCACTACACTTCATTATTTAATTCCTGTGAGGACTGGAATACTGTTCAAGTGACTGAACCGAAGAAGATGGTTTTCTTAGGGGAGACCACTCCTTGAACCTTTAACCTCGAAGTCTAATCTACAAAAGAGTGGAACAACGTTAAGAGATGCAG